CAGAAATGAATGAAATTGAGAACAGGGAAACGATAGAAAAGATTAACCAAACTAAGTTAGTTCTTTGAAAAGATAAACAATTTTTTAAAAGATACATAAATTTGACAAACCTTTAGCTAGACTAACCAAGGAAAAAAGAGAACCCAAATCTAAGTTGTGACAAAAGGAGACATTACAACTGATACCACAGAAATACGAAGTTCATACGAGGCTATTATAAAAACACTCTAAGCCAATAAATTGGACAACCTAGAAGAAATGGAAACGTTCTTAGAAACATACAAACTGCCAAGAATGAATCGTGAATAGAAAGTCTGAATATATCAATTACTAGTAAGGAGATTAAATCAGTAATTAAAAATCTCCCAAGGAAGGAAATCCCATGACCAATAAATAGCTTCACTAATGAATTTTACCAAACATTTAAAGAAGAATCAAGACTAATTCTCAAACTCTTCCAGAAAAAAAAGGAAAAGAAGGGAACATTCCCAAACTCATTTTATGAGGCCAGCATTACCCTGATACCAAAGCCAGAAAAAGACACTATCAGAAAAATACAGATCAATATTTGATTAAAACACATGGGAAAATTCTCAAAGTACTAGCAAACTGAATTCAGCAGCATATTTCAAGTATCACTCATCGTGATCAAGTGGGATGTATGCCTGCAACGCAAGAATGGCTCAACATACACATGCAGTCAATGTGATACATCAGATTAACAGAATGAAAAAAAATCTCAATAGATGGAGAAAAAGCATTTAACAAAATTCAACATCTGTTCATGATAAAAAAAATGTAACAAACTTGGTATAGACAGAAGGTACCTCAACATAATAAAGGCCATATGTGACTAGCCCACAGCTAACATACTCAATGGTGAAAAGCTGCTAGTGGCAGTTTTACATAAGTAGGAAAAAAATCCTAGATTTTATCTAAAACCACAAAAGACCCCTAATAGCCAAGCCATCCTGAGAAAGAAAAACAAAGCAGGAAGCATCACACTTTCCGATTTTAAGCTACATCATAAAGGTATGCTAACCACAACAGTGTGGTACTGGCCTAAAAACAGACCCAAAAAATCCAATGCAACAGAATCTAGAGCCCAGAAATAAATTCAAGTATATACAGTCAACTAATATTTGACAAAAGAGCCAAGAATATGAAATGGAGCAAAAAGTTTCTCTTCTATAATTGGTGCTAAAAAAAAATATTCACATGTAAAAAATGAAACTAATCCCCTATCTTATACTACTTACAAAAATGAATTTTAAATAAAGCCTTGAATGTGACATCTGACAACATGAAAGTCCTTAACAAAAACATAGGAAAAGAAACAGGCTCACAGACTTAGGGGTGGGAAGGGATAAATTTGGGATTTTGAGATTTACAACATGTTAGTCACTATATATAAAAATAGATTTTAAAGAAAGTTTTTGTACAGCACAGGGAACTATGTTCAGTATCTTGTAATAACCTTTAATGGAAAAAATACGAAAATGAATATATATGTATATGCATGACTGGGACATTGTGCTGTACACCAGAAACTGACACGTTGTAACTGACTGTACTTCAATTAAAAGAAAAACAGAAAAAAGTCTCTTTGATATGGGTCTTGGCAACAATTCTTTGGATACGACACCTAATGCTATCAACAAAAATAAACAAGTGGTATTACATCAAACTAAAGCTTCTACACAGCAAAAGAAATGATCAACATGTGAAAAGACAACCTACAAAATGGGGGGAAAAACTGCAAACTGTTTATCTGGTAAGGGGTTAATATTCAGAATATCTAAAGAATTCATATAACTCAATAGAAGATAAATAATCCAATTTAAAAATGGGCAAAAAACCTGAATAGACATTTCTCCAAAGATATATGGGAGGCCAGCAGGTATAAGAAAAGTCGCTCAACATCCCTAGTCAATAGGGAAATGCAAATCAAAATCATGAGATACCACCTCATGCCTGTTAGAACGGCCATCATCGAAAAGACTAGAGATACATACTGCTGAGGGTGTGCAGAAAAGGGAAGGCTCAGGCACTGTAGGAGTGCAGGTGGGAATGTAAATTGGTGCAGCCACTACATAAAACAGTATGGTGGTTCCTCAGAAAATTACATAAAGAACTACCATATAATCCAGCAATTCCACTTCTGGGTAATCCAAAGAAAAACACTAACTCAAAATGATATGTGCGCCCTCAAGTTCACTGCAGCGTTATTTACAATAGCCATGCTGTGGAAACAAGCTCAGTGTCCACTGATGAAGAAGGGAAAAGTGACAGACATGACAGAATGTTATTCAGCCGTAAAGAAGAATGAAATCTTGCCATTTACAACACGGATGGACTTTGAGGGCATCACGTTCAGTGAAATAAGTCAAACAGGAAAATATATGATCTCACTTACATGTGGAATTAAAAAAATATGCAAACAAAAAAAACTAAGCTCGTGGACATCGAGAACAGAATGATTTTTCTTGAGGTAGGGGGTGGGAGTTGGGCCAAGTGGGTGAAGGGATCAAAAGGTACAAATTTCCAGTAATAAAATGAAACAGTTATGGGGACATAATATACAGCCTGGTGACTAGTTATAAATACTGTATTTGAAAGTTGCTAGGAGAGTGGATCTTGAAAGTCCTCATCGTAAGGAAAAAAATATTTTGTCAACTATGTATGGTAATGGTTGTTCACTGGACTACTGTGCAGTACATACCAGTACTGAATCATTGTGTTGCACACCTGAAACTGCTGAAAGCGTTACATGTCAATTATACCTCAGTTTTTTAAAAAAGAGCACGTTCCAGCCCTCTGAGCTGGCCCTCGGCAAGAGCCTCGGGAACGTGACCTGCTCAACCACGTGCCAGGAGGTCTCATCACGAGTGGCAGTGGCAACCAGGGAACAAAAAAGTAACTGAAGATGAATACGACTAAATGGGCAAAAATGTAAACTCCTGAATTAAATTATATCACCACATTTTCACTACAGTTCCACTGAAGCATCTCTGTGTGGGGTGACAGAATTGGTAGAAAAGTTAGAAAAAGTAGAAATATACACTTATTATTCTAACTGAATCATTAAGGCAATCAAACCTTTCTTTCAAGGCTCTGGTTAAAATCTCAATGTAAATATGTTGGGGGAAGGAGCGCGGGGGGAGTCACATATAAACACCTTGATGCCAAGTATCCAACTAATTGATTATAAATTTAGCAAGTGCCTGAAGGAATGGGATAAACTAGGGCAGGGGTCAGCAAATCTTTTCCATAAAGGGCCAGTTAGTAAATATTTTAGGCTTCGTGGGGCTGGAAGGTCTAACTATTCAGCGGTACCATTACAGCGCTCAAGCAGCCGTACAGAATCACAAACCATTGAGCGTTGGCTGTGTTTCAATAAAATTATACTTATGAAAGCCCTAGTTTGCCAAATTGAGGAAAACCCAGTTTGGCTTATGCATTTTTTCCATGGAATTAAGAGGTCAGGAAAAAAAAAAGAGGTCAGGAAATGTACAGTCATGGAATAGAGCCTGTAAGGTCAGTTTCCCACAGGAGGGGGAGGGTAGAGCACATGCTTAGCATGCACAAGGTCCTGGGTTCAATCCCCAGTGTCTCCATCAAAAAAATAAACCTAATTACCCTCCCCCCCCAAGAAACCAAAAGAGAACAATTTCCCACACGATGGGGTGCTGTGGGCTTGTGCTACCTGAAGAGCAAGTCCCTAGCTGGGACAAAGGGACACAGGTGGAGGTAAGGTGGCAGGGATGGAGGGGAAAGGTGAATTGGGTTCCTATCAAAGGAGCCCAGGGTGTTTTATATGGCCCTTCAGAGTTCATGGGAAGTCCTTCAAGTACATGGAGAGGATAAACAAAGACATTATTCATTGTCTTTTTTTTTTTAAGAGCAAAGATGGGACCAGGGGACTCAAGATCTCGTGGATCGAGAGTGCCGAAAGCCTGATTGACATCATATTTATTAGTATACAGCTCAGAAAAAAATGCGATCAAAGAGGTGGGGCTTTAGATATTTCATATGATAAGCACTAAGTTCTGCTTTATTATTCATTGTCTTGATGCTGAAATGAGAATTTAAATTGTAGGCTTTGATTAAACTAAGATTGTTCTCAACACCTAGTTCTAGTCTCTGTAATATAGGAATGAAATATTCCCCCCAAAACAGTGCAGCACCGCGTCCGCGACCCAGGATAACATCCTGCCTCTTTAGCGTTCAGACTGGCCACTCAGCCAGCTTCAGGACAACAATCAAGCAAGTTCTAGTTTAATCCTTTCTGTTTCTAGCTTGTTTCCCCCCACCCTCAAAAGACGCTGCCTCATTTTGTAGCTGCAAAACTTACACAGCTGGGAAGGGCTCATTTCCCAGAAAAGCCTCCCTCAAATGTTAAGGTTGTTAGGAGTCACCTGGAGGACTTGTTAAAATAGACTCTGATCCAGTAGGTCTAGGATGGGGATTGAGAATTAGCATTTCTGACCAGCTCCCAGGTGATGCTGATCTTACTGGTCCACAGACCACACTTTGAGAACCACTTTCCTAAAAGCTGGTCATCCCTCTCTGGGGAGCTCTGGGAGAGTTGGAAAGCTTCCAGTGGCAGGACCTGGAGCCTGAGGGCTCCTGGATGCCTCTCATCCCTTGAGCAAGCCTTTAGGACAAACGATTGATGCCTCCACCCCAGGCAGATCCTGAACAGGTTCGGCAAAGACCGCTGTTCTTTGGCTGGGCCTGGACGGCATGTCAATTAGGCTTCTTAGTGAAGACAAACAAACCTCATTAGTTGGAAAACGACTGGGTTAGCTCTGGGGAGCCAGTGTTAATCAGGTTATGCCCCAGAAGCAGAAACGAACGGTGGGAGTTCGAAAGTGCCAGTTCCTGCCGCGCACAGTAAATGGATTAGGCACTGAATCTGGCTTTTACTTTTAATAAAATGACTCAGCCCTTCCTGGTAGAGGGCTCCCTCCCGCCCTGGCCCCGCGGCAAGGACTCACCTGCAGCATCCCCAGCTGCAGCCGGTAGAGGAGGTTTCGGGCTGTGGGCGTGGACACAATGAGGAGTCTCCTTTTCTCGTAAAACTGATCCAGAAGTGCAGCTGCTGTTCTGACGCCAACGTTGACATTCATGGCTGTAATCAGAAATAACCAGCCCTCTAAACAAACAAAAGTGCAAAAAACTACACTTCAAATTTTAAAAAATTTTTAGAAATAGCCAGGTAGGTCAGAAACTCTACGGGTTGCGGCTCAACACAGGCCACGACAACACACTGTGTCTAAGAGGTCAAGATTCAACTAGGAGGTCCTAGTTTGTTCGGAAGGTGGTCCCAAGAAGCGCCGGGTCGGAGGGTGGGGAAGTGTTAGTTTCCCCTTGCTGCTGACACTCAGCACCACAAACCTAGAGGCTTAACACACACAAATTCTCTTACAGACGCCCTGGGGGAGAATCTGCTTCCGTGCCTCTTCCCGCATCCAGAGGCCTCCTACATTCCTCGGTTCTTACGTAGCCTTTCCCCCACCTTCCAAGCCGGCAGCATCACATCTTCGGGATTTCCCTCCTCTCTGACCCCTGCTTCCCTTATCTTTGACTCGGAGCTCCGCCTCCCTCTTATAAGGTCCCTTGTGAGTCCATTGAGCCCACCTGGGTAATCCACGCTACTCACCCCATCTCAAAATCCTTCACTTAATTACACCTGCAAAGTCCCTTTTGCTACTTAAGGTCATATAGTCACAGGTTCTGGGGATTAGGATGTGGGTATCTGTGGGGGAGGGGCACTACTCTCCTACCTCAGGAAACGAGACAGGGAAGGAAAGAGGTGTGTTCTCTGTACTTTAATGTATGAAATTACAGAGCCTCGGGCATCTAGCTGATGATGCACATCTCTCTCTCTCTCACCTCACTCTGCATGGCTGGGATTAAAGGAGCACAAAGATGAGAAAACACCAGGAAATGAGAAAAAAGTGGAGTACAGAAAGAAATAAGAGACATGCTCAGAATTTTCTGGCTAGTCCAAATTTCACAGTTAGCATTACCCAGCCCAGTTTTTCTTCCTCAGTAGCAACAGCTGACATGTATTGAGAGTTTATCATGTGCCAAGCACCACTCAGCTCCACTGTTCAGTGGATGGCCACGTTTAATCCCTACAACTGCTCAAGCAGTAGGTAAGGCATTTTCTTCCTCATTTAACAGGAGGAGGAAAGATTCCACGTGCCCAAGGTCTGCGTCACTTTCCAGCCAGTGCTGCAAAGCAGGCCTTACAGTGTCGTCTGCAGTAGTGTACTGGCTTTATAAAAAAAAAAAAGACTCTTACACTTGTAGAAGGAAGGAATTTTTAAATAAAATTTTAAAAAACATTTTTTAAAAAGGGTACCTAGAGCAGGACTTTGCTGATTCATAATGGGCCCCAGGTTCCCACCTCCGGCTGCCTCCTCAGAGGAGAGAAATCCGAAGATCCACAGAGGCAAAGGAGGGTGGGTGAGATGGGCTGCCCAGGGATTCGCGGACCGCTTTCACCCATCAGATGAAGAGGGATGGCACCGAACCTTTCAAAGGATAGAGAATGAAACCCTCCCTCCTCCCTGTCCTGGAAATCACAGCCAAAGGGTCTTTAGGCTCGGCTGCAGGCTGGGCCGGAGAGCGGACTGCACTCGTACCTGCACAGGTGGGCTCTGCGCCAGACCACGCCAGGTTGGACTGACACACGCGGGCAGGACTGCCCTGCAGCTCGTAGCCGCCGATGCAGGAGAATTCACAGGTGGCCCCGTAATTATCGCCGTCGCTGGAGCACTTCATGTAGCCGTTCTCCGGGGCGTTGAGTTTGCCGCAGCGTCTGACTGTGTGGGACACAAGCCCAGGGCACAGGTGGGGGTGGTTCAGTGCTGAGCTCCCCACCACAGAGTAACCAGGGAAAGAGCGGGTTCGGAGGCACCAGCTTTGCAACCCGGCTTCCACCTTGGCCCGGGAAACGAGGGAGTGGGTGGGCCTTGGAATGGTCACTGTTCATACCACCGAGACCACTGAGATGAACTGGGTTAGCCCCCTGTGTTATAGAGGAGGACGTGGAATCCAGAAGGATAAAGAGTAAAGATGGCTAGTAATTAGCTGCCCAAACCATGAGGCATAAAATAAACCTTAAAAACATTTTTTTTAGATACCAAAGCTTCTGGAACACCGAGAACATTGTCTCTTGGTGGCCCAAGCTAGGGGACCAAGCTAACCTCCTTCACAGAAGGACTTACAGACTTTAGCTGGTCACTGAAGGCCCAGGGTGGAAGAGTTACTGAATCATATTCTCCTGGGAAAGCCAGCTGTGGGCTCATGTGGGACTAGCGTACTGCTCTCTCAGACTCCTTAAATGATCTGCCAGCACTGAACCTCATCCGGATTTGGACTGTGAAATTCAGGCAATAAGATGGCACCCACCCCCCAGCCTCATCAGCAGACGCTAATCCAGAGGGCAAGTATCCCTCCGGTTTGGGGCATTCACGCTGGGTTCTTGCTGGAGACTCTGCTTCCCTTTGCTCTTATGGAGAAAAAAAGCCAATAAGCAGTCATCTTACCTCTGACTTTTACTCGAAATTTGCAGGTGCCCTTGTTCTCAGCTCTGTCATAAACTGTGTACTGGATCTTGTGGTCACCTTCCGGAAAATGCGAGCCTGGGGGTAGCCCTTTAAGTATAACGCTTAAAGGGGGAAAAATCAGAAACACCAAAGATGATCATTGTGGGTGTAACAATAATTAGGCCATGATGAACCTAATGATGATGCAGACAAACCAAGGGACAGCCATTAGGCCCGTTTCACCACTTCACTTCTCAAAGAATAGAATTTTCTGAGCTTTTCTCTGTTTTGGAAGAGCAGTTTGAAACCAGAAAATGGAAGCCCCCAATTCCTGGGAAGTTTTGATTTATTTTTCTTGCTGGAGTGTGGAACAGCGGATGAGAGAGGCTAAGAACCCAGGGCCCAAGTCTTCCTCCCATCCTGCCTTTGTTCCACGGGGGAATCTGTATTTTCTGTGAGGATAATCATTTGAAAGGGTAGTCCAAGCAGTCATTGGCAACTTGGACCTGCAGGGGGCGCTAGAACTTTCTCTGCTTTTTCTGTCTGGGTGAGTGGAGACCTTTCCTGACCAAAAGGCAAGTTCACTGTGACTCCTTGGTGATCCTAATAATAATAAATTATTATCATTTAAGAATATTTAGTCATTTAAGATAATATATTAATATAATGTAATGGATAATACTATATTAATGTGCAATAATTAAGAACAGAATAATATGATTAATATTTAATAATTTAGCAATGAATTATAATAAATCATTATCACCATTGTTCTTTGCATGTACATAAACTACACATGTCAGGCACGTTCTAGGCATTTCACATATACTCAGTTCTCACAACAACCCTATGAGGTGGGCATTATTATCTCCATTTCATAGATGAGGAAATTGTGGCACCAAAAGATCAAGGAACTCGCCAAGGTCACACAGCAAGGGTGACTCCCACGTCTTTCTTCTCGGCTGACAGGAACGTCTATAGGTACAACATGAGCAAATCCTAGGTTGTGTTTGTTTTTCAACAGATAGATACTTTCCCTTCTCTCTACACTTCTTAGGAGTGATGAGAATATTGGTTAATAAGGGGCATGTGACATTATCATTGTCACCATCGAGGAGAACCTTCCACTCAGGTGGACAAAGTAGTTGTTTAGAAGTATGAAGTGAGGGGTGTTAGGAAAGTGCCAGAAATCCCACCATTAGAGACATGTCACTTTGGTCCTTAGATGCTTTAAGGTCCTCAGGAAGCACAAGTTAAATGCAGATGAACCTGAGAGGGATCATACTTCAAATATGAGTCGCTGCTAACCTCTTGGGGACTCTCATCTGTGACACGCAAATAACAGTCATAAGGAGTAACTGAGGGAACTCACCGGAAGCCCTGGTCTCAGCTTGACACTAGAACCTTCCCTCCTAAAAGGCGACTATATAACAGGAGCTTGCAAAAGACATGGGGGAAGGGGTCACAAGAGAAATGCCGGAGAAGCAAGGAGGCCAAGCGACTGCTGAGAAGGGGACAAGACGGCCTCGTCTGAACTCCTCGTTCTGCGGGAGGGCGCTCCCCACAGCATCCTGCTCCAGCCTTCGGGCTGCGGAACTCGGGCAGCGGACAGCTGCTCTGAACAGAGGGCCAGGGGCTGCTGTGATGCTCTTTACAAATGTCACCCTTCTACCCATAACACACTGGTTACCCACAAAAATGCCAAGGGGAATAGCCCTGCCAGATAAATAGAATCATCTAGTGACCTGATTATTTTGTGTTTATTACACCGGATTTCAATAGCAGTCACTGTTGTGAAAATCTAAGAACCTATTATGGGCTAGGGGCTGGGCCCGGGCATTGTGCTGGGTCCCAAAAGATTCAGAGATTTAAAACCCAACCCCTGATTATATCAACGGTGACTTATTTTTTTTAATCCCAGTTGCCTAAAGTTTCTCCTTAGGGGTTTGTGATGTGTGTATATGACAGCAAATAAATCATTTTCTTAATACTTAAACTTTAACCTTGAGGAGTTACAAGGGGGCACATAACTAAGATTCTCTAAGTTAGACGGTGCACTGGGAAAACATTATCAGGCTGTAGGAACAAAATGTCCTGCTAGGGGTGAGAGACTCAGCCTCTTCCTCGTAAATGTTCTATTATCACTCATAATTGCTTAAAAATGTTTTTTCTTGCCCAGCCGGGGCTGAGAGGATTCTAGAAAGTCTCTCCCTGCTGTATAGCTCATCTGGGGGTAAGTCAGAGGTATTCTCTGTCCAGAGCTGGAAACTCGGTGGGGAGGTCTAACAAGACCATGAACTTTATGGATGTGAACGTGCTGACATGAAGCAGTGGCCTTCAGGGAACACGAAGTCCGATCAGATAGTTGCAGGGGCGCAGGACCAGACGCTAGATTAGAACAACATGTAGCTGGACTTCACCAAAGGGAACCACCCATTTTTAAAAGCATCTGGGATGGATTTCAAACTATTAATGCAGTTGGTCCTGGAGAGTGGGGGGTGAGGCGGGGGCGGGGGGGGAGAAGGCAGGAGGCACCTCTTTTTTTATTTTTAAGTGGTGTCTTTAAGGGTTCAATGTGGTCACACATTTAAAAAGTTAATTAAAGATCAAAAGTTTTGAAAGAAGCAGTTGCCAAAAAACAAGGGATGGAAAAGTTTTGCACTAAACCATACTCATAGAGCACCAGGCAGGGCAGCACTGGGCTCCAACCTGGGAGACGCAGAGGCTTTCCAGGGCGGCCTCGGGCAGGCCCCTGGCAGGCAGTGGGGGTGAGTCTATCCCTGAATGAACCAGTTGGCTTCCTTTTCCTTCTTCTGTCCCTCCTCTTCTCTTTCTCCCACCACCCCTTCTCCCTTCCTTTTTTTCTTTCAACAAATATTTACTGAGAACCACCTACGTGCTAGGCATGATGCTGGGCATTAGGGATACGGCCGTGAACATATTGCAGCGGAGACAGGCCATACACAAACACATAAGTAAAATATACACTATTTCAGATGGTGAAGAAAAATAAAGAAAGGAATGAGGAATGGCTGAAAGAGGGCTGTGCCGAGCCTAAAAGCATAAATAGACCAGCCTAGATACACGTCCTCACTCTGGGTAGTGAACGTCTCACATAAAAGAGGAGGCATCATTCAAGCTGCCAAGTTGCACTTACTCAGTGAGAATGCCATCAGCTGTGTCTCTTCCCTCGGGGGTCTCCCAGGACACCCGGACAGTCAACTTATTGGGTTCAGCAATGCGTTCCTTCACACTTGGGCACTTGATTCTAGGAGGTTCCATATCTGAAAATATAACCAGGACATTCTCACCATCATCAAGAAATATCTTGTCAACTTGGGGTCCAACACCCAGCATTTGGCATGCCCAAAGCTCTCGATGCTCCCCATTTCTGAAGGGCTCCTTCCCCGCTCTGTATTTCTCTTCCCTCGCTTCATCTTGCCTGTTGAGTTTTAAAGACTGAGTACTCACCCGCACGCCACTAAACCTGCCATCAGCTGGCCCTGCTAAGTGTCTTGTCAGGTAATTTATTAGCTACGGCAACTTCCTCCCCATGCTTCAAAACTCTGCCTGCTGACTTGGCAACATGGCAGTTACCCAGCTAGAAGTCATTCAGCCACAGTGAGTCCCTCCTGCTTTAAAGACAGCATCACAGAATACTAGGGAAAGGTGCCTTAGGTATCATCTAGTTTGAGTAAATTCAAGGCAACAAATCTTTAGTGAGTACCTGCCTTCCCCAAGGCATCATCCCAGCTGCTGGGTTTGGGGATGCACAAAGGCAAGAGAATCCCGTGCTTCTCAAAGGGTTTACAGTCTATTAGGGGCATTAGGTTGCCACACATGAAATATGATATGAGGTGGGAAATGGCACTGTTCCAGGTGAGGTAAAAGTAAGTGCTATGGAGGCTTAATGGAGTGACGCGATGCTCTCATTTACCGGATCTGGAAACTAAGGCTCAGAGAGCATAAGTGATTTATTTAAGGCCAGGCATATAAATAATGATAATGTAAATTATAACCCAAATTAGAGCACTTTGCCCTGGAACAAGCTCTCTCTCTTCTGGCTATGTCTGTTTCCAACATACTCCTCAATATCTGGAAACAAACAATGACCTGAGTCCATGCTCCCCTCCAGCCACCACTGGACCACATCTATGGTTTTCGTGTTTGGGGACAGCAGTTTTACCTTGGCTCTGGCCATCCAAAAGCCTCCAAAATTTCCCCAGATAATTTCTCTACCTGGTAACAGAATGTCTGTCCCCTCACTATCAAGGATGGGTTGATAATAAGGGTGAGAAGTAAGTGAGATGTCAGTTTCTTACTGGGTAAACTTCACCTTATCATAGCTAAAGTGAAATCACAAGGGGGAATTCAAACTTGGGCAAATTCTACTTGATGATTCTGAACAGGTAGAGAATGCATTTAAAGCAGACACAGTAAATGAACAACATTTAGATTTGCACTGCTTTATATATCAACTGGTAACTACTTAAATGCTACCACAACCTGAATGAAAATGAAATGACATTAGACTCTGAATCACAAACATCTTTGAGAGATGAAATGCGTCAAGTAAAGTCTTCATATACTTTGTCCTCCATCTTGTCTAACAATTTCTCATTGTATTTAGGGTAAGAAATTATGAACAATTTGTTAAACAATTTCATCCTCAGCTATCCAAATTCATTTTCATTCTACGTCATGCTTCAATGGAGTGTAAATTTACAGCCCTAATACACTAATCCTGAATTGAATAACTACCGTATTTCATCACTATCAATTGTGAGGAGCACCCTAATTTCTGGGATATTAAAATGTGAAAAAATAGGCTTCTTGGAACTGATAAAGTTTCTAAATGCTATGGTGAAGTGGAAGCTGCTTTAAATGTATTAGAGGTGTCTATTTTCAGTTGCTAAGCTTTTTAAAATAATCCTTTTCTTATTTTACTATGATAGGTGATAGAAGACATACTTTTATCATTCAGATGAACATTTCACAGCTTGGGGTGAATCAGAAAGACAAGTATACAGTACCTGCCCTCTGCTGGCAGTCTCATAATTGGAAAGCATTTTTTAAAAAATTTAAATCAAAAAGAGAGCGGCCAAGGAGAGGAGCTAGATTTCAATGTAGAATTACTTTGTGTTACCGTATTTTCTTGGAGCGACACTGTCAGAGTGAAGACACTGTCAGGCTCTGTGTCATGTAAACTAAACATCTGGATGATATGCTGGGGTTTTTTTTCATATAAACGGCATACTGACACTGTGACCAAACATCGCTCCAAATGAAGTTATCTGGGTGAAGAGTCTCAGAGCTTCCCAAAGCCAGCTTATGACAGCTAACAATGATCAGTCGAAACTGTCCTAATTTTTCAAAAGCACTGCTCTTCCAAATCAGAAACTAGAAGAAAGAAATCACTAAAAATAATAGCTAATATTTACTGAACCCTCCTACATGCCCACCCCATGCTAGATACCATCCCTGCATTATTTCATTGACTTCTCCCCACCACCCACTAGACTAAGCATTGTTATTCTCATCCTCATTTCTAGACTGGGAAATATTTCCTCTCTTTTGGAATTTCTCTGTGGTCTGGAATTTTAAGACATGATCACATATTTTTAAAATTATTTTAATAAGCTGAACCCTTCCGTGTGTCTGCCTGCTGCTGACCTAGTGTTTTCCTCCATCCTCCGCACATACGCTCTTTCGTGGTCGCCTGCTCTAGCTTCCCCGTAAGTCATCAAAGAGCGGCAGCAGGACTCAGTTCTGTTGCATCCTCAAGCATCATACCCTGTCTTTCAGCTGATGAGACCAGCTGGCCGGCCCTTCGGCAGATGCTCCAGAAACCTAAGCCTATTATTACACAGCCGTGGCCATCATTGCTTTTTAGAAGTTATAAATTTCCATGAATGAAATAAACAAAGTTACTATAGAAACATAATCACGTTTCCCTGTTGAGTCAGGATGCCTACAGGGCCAGTTATTGTGTGGAAACCCTGCAACTCTCCTGAAAATCCTGGCCTCTGCCCCACTCATTGGAGCCATTTGACAAACTGTGTCCCTCCTCTGTGCTCTAGTTCCCTCTCTGCGTATAAAATGTCAGAAACCAATATATCGCGCTGTATCAACTACTGTTTATCTGAGAAGCTAAACTATATACTTGGGGAATACTTAACACGTCTAACCAAGTAGAGGGTAGAAATAAGAAAGAGATCCAAAAGGACAATGTTCTGGCCAACAGATTAAGAAGGGAAAAAAACCAAAAACCTTTAAACTCAGGCTATAAATTAACTGCATCCTAAAATGTTTGCTTTAAATAACGTTTTCCAGGTTCCAGGAGACCTGTGTTTGAAGATGACCACTAGAGGTATGATGAAAAGGTGTTTCAGAACATGACAGTGACGTGTGGCTGAGACTGCCTGACCTGGTGGGGGGTTTCTTCTCTTTCTCAACTCATTCTAGGGCAAGATGACATTCTTATCTTCAGTAAAGGACCGTCACAGCTGCTCACAGCAAACAGATCCATTCAATACCCCTTTCCTCTCTGATGTCCTCCACAACCCATTCAAATTGGCTTTTAAAAAACATTTTAATTAATTACTTTAGGGCTTGGGGGGTAATTAGGTTTATTTATTTAGTTTTTTTGTTAAATGGAGGCACTGAGGATTGAACCCAATGCATGCTAAGCATGCACTCTACCACTAAGCTATACCCTCCCCTGCTAAACTGGCTTTTTAACTGCTGTTTCTCTCCCTTCTTTTAGCCTTTGACCTTTCACACCAACTCCCTCTCAATCTGTATAGTCTATGTGGCAGAGACCAGTGGTTGTTCACCCGCTCTCTGATTCCCCTTACTTTTAGTTCAGAAGTTTCCCTGGGTCTGTGGCCTTTCAGAAAGAATACTGTATTTCCCGGCCTCCTCTGAAGTTAGATGTGGCCTTGTGAAGTTAGGTGGGTCCCACCAATGGGTTGTGAGAAAAAGTAATGTGTGCAACTTCTGGGTTGTGCTTTTAAAAAAAAGGTGTGTATATGGGGAGGGGGCCTCCACTTTTTCTTTCTCCTCCACTCCACTTTAAAAACATTTTTTATTATTATTTATTCATTTATTTTTGGGTGGTAATTAGGTTCATTTAACTTATTTATTTTTAGAGGGGGTACTGGGGATTGAACCCAGGATCTTGTGCATGTGCTCTACCACTTGAGCTATATCCTGCCCCCACCTCCTCCACTCCACTTTGAATGTGGATGAGCTGGAAAGCTGGAACTGCCATCTAAGGAAGTCCAATTATCTGACTGGAGAGGCCACGTGGAGAAAATGAGAAATGATGTAGGGAGACAGAGAGAGAAAGAGACTCAACGCCAGCCAGTAGAGCCACCTCGGAGTGAGATGCCAGACATGGGAGTGATGCCCTCTTGCATCCTCCAGCCCCACAGTCAGACACCTCAGCCATTACTATGTGGGACAGAGATGAGCTGTCCCCACCCAGCCCTGCCCAAATTCCTAAGCCAAACAACATGAGCAATAACGTGGTAGTTTGAATGAACTAAGTTTTGGGTAGTCTGTTGTACAGCAATAGATTACTGATACAAACATAAAACAGTTTGAAGCTGGGGATGGAGGAAGGAAGCGGTCGTTTCACGAGGCATAGGAAGACAGGGAGCGCCAAGGCAGTACAACCCCGGACACTGAAACCTTGCCCGCTTGCTTGCTTCCCCCAGCTGGAGTGTAATCCTTGTAAATGTCTCTGGAAAGTGGTTCCATTTCTGCGGCATCATGTAAGATATTAGCAAACTCTCCCCAGTGGCCAAGGGTCAAGAAGACAAGCAATGAACTCCACAATCAGAAGTCACTGTCTTCACCAGAAAGATGCCAAACTAAAAATTCATTGGTGATATGTTTATATTAGAGAGGGCCACTAAGAGTCGACCTGTTCAGTTTACACTAGCAAATCCTGCCAGGTAAAAAGTGGCGCAGTATCCCAATCAAATCATTCCAAAGCTGGAGCTAGTTTCCTAAAAGCTTGCAAAAGAATGTGTATTTGTCAACCCAGGAAAAAATTAGGATGATTTAAGAGCATACAGCAATGCACTGATAAATTTACTCTTAGCCCCACAATGTTTCTATCTTCAACTGAATCTCTGGAAATAATGCTATTCATGCCCAGCAAACTTCCTTATGGGTCACTGGGTAAACCCAGCTGGCAGATAGCTGGGAAGCCAGAAAAGTATTCCATCCATTTGCATATCTGAAATCTCAGAGAGTATTTTTTATTCCAGAATTTCATTCACGTTAACTCTCCAGCTATTCTATTCTGTAGGAACTATAAGAACAAGCCGAGAGCAATTCTAAAAACCATGTTGGTTTGTACATTGTTCTTTGTTAAAACAACTGGAGGGGAGGGCATAGCTCAGTGGTAGAGCACATGCTTAGCATGCACGAGGTCCTGGGTTCAATCCCCAGTACCTCCATTAAAAAAATAAATAAAAATAATTAAATATTTAAAAAAAACCAACTAAATGGGGCTCTCTGCATGTCCAAAGATACTGGGTTTTCATTGTCCATGGGTTTTGAACTTTCTTGAATTTCTTTCTCTTCCCCTTTTGGCCCAGGAAAGAGTGTTGGTCTACAGGAGAGATCATGTGTCTACTCAAAATCTGGTCTCTAGATGAGGACTCGTAATTCTAACTGTCCATTGTTCTATCTAAATGCTGATGTAACCAAAAAGAACTAAAAATGGAAAGAAAGAAAAAATATCTCCCCGGCCCAAACAATAGTTGTTCCAGTCTAAGGTTTCTTTTTTTCTATATCAATGGAAGTTGTGGCTCTCGAAATACTTTACCCTCTTGCAATTTGCAGTATGTTTTAAGTCCTGCACTGACATTTCTGTGTCTGTTCCTGAAATAGTCATGGATTTGACTCCACTGCCAGAGTGTGGTCGGCAGAAGAGAATTAATTTTAACTCATGGTACTTTCAAATTAGCCAGACCACAGAACTGACCACCTCAGAGTCAAAAGTAAGCCCAGTGTTCTCTCTTCCCTCCAGATCTGGAGCAGAACTGGGACAATCTGCTCAGCACTGCACACAGCTCATGCCAAGAGGCGCCGTTCAAGTTGTGTGGACATCTGGGAACTGCTCGGCCCCCATGTGTCAGCTCCGAAACTAGGCTGAGGCTCTGAGCTATGCTCAGGGACCCCCTCGCCCTGCCAACACACAAACAAAGTCATTAAACTAATTTAAATCCATTTAATGCCAAAAGAGTCGGTGACATCTCTGGAGGAAAATTCACTGGGGACAAACTCTAGCTTATCTGTCACAAAATCAAAGAAAGAATCGCCTGCTTGCTTTGTCCGTTTCTCTCTCTTTCCTGGGAGCTCAATGCTCTCCCATGGCGCAAGGGTCCCCTTTTCACCACTTCCCCTTCACTGCGCAAATACCCCTTCCCCCCAGATATGCCTGAACCTTGCCCTGGCCCAATCTAAGATAAATCCCCTGAAATGGGGGTTCATTCCTTAGTCCTTTCTCTCTCCCTCTGGGAAGGTTCCAGGCCCATCTGGTCCAGCTTAAGATATGCTTGTTGCTTTTTGAGAACAATCAGCAATTTCTTTCCATTGTTGTGCACCATCTGGACATCTGAACAGTGGGATCCCTAGAGGACCTTCTGCCAATGCTCACTTCGCAGGAGGATTTGTGAGCTCTCCTCTCCTCCCGTCACCGCTGCCCCTTCCACTGTGAGGGAAGAGAGGCTCAGAAATGGGGGGGAGAGGGTTTGTTTCGAAGAGCTAGCTTGCACCTACCAAGTCACAGGGGAGACAGTAAAAGCAAGATCTGTGAGGAGCGACTGTGACCTGAACATCTGGCCTCAGGTCATAGCCTTCAAAAGGAGCATGTCGGGAGTTCACAGCCTCAGAGCTACCCTACCTGCTCGGGCTGGGCTGGGCGGACTTCTCCTGACTGAGAAGTACAGTGACTCAGCGGGAGACGTCCAAAACCTCAGAAAAAGGTCGCTGTGCCAAATATTCTGTTGGCGCTAAGTTTTCCTATAATAATCTCCTCTTTACCGCCTGGATGGAAAGTCTCAAGATTATATTTCTCAGACTCCTGCTGCCAGCTGGGTGCCGGATAGGTTTACCAAGGGGAGGCACTCCCATGAGAACAGAAGGCCGGGAGAAGGTGGAAGCCATTATGCTGCTGGTAGGAGCATCAGTGAGGGGGTCCTGGGCTCCTGACTTCATTCTCATCAGTAATGGTGTCAGTTACAGAAATGTCAGCATCGAGGGTGGCCTTACGGACTTTGGGTAGCACTGCCAGCCCACTTCTGCTCCCCCAGCCCTTGGTTGGTATGGCTTTCTGCTGTAACCGATCTCTGGTAACAGTGGTGTTCCTCTTTCGCTCCTCCAGCTCTTCCTAGATTTTTTGTCACCAGTGCCCTGTATTAAATTCTCTGTTTGAAATACCTAGAATGGTTTCTGTTTTCCCAATTACTGATCAATTCAAATTCCTACCTAAATCCTAGAAAAAGAGAAGCCTGGAATAAATGAGTCGGTTATCTGAGTAGTTATTTGGACCTGGTGTCAAATGGATACAAGGTGCGGTCCAGGCTGTGACTGATATAGAAGGGTTTTGCTCACATCTTGGTCCAGGGCCCCTTGGCTGAAGCTCATTAACCACAGAACTGCAGAGGATGGCTGATGCTGCCAAGGGAGACAGTGGACAGTGGTACCATCACGAAGACACCAAGGCCAGAGGAGTTGTTGCACATCTGCCCCCAGAGGGTACCATCCAGTTTCAGTCGCGTTCCTGAAGTATCTGCCCCAGGCACCGAGCAGTCAGGAAGCAGTCCTCGGGGTAAAGCACTTTAGCAGACTGAGCTGAACAATTTCCTGGAGGATGGGCAGACCCCAGCAGGCTAAGAGCCAGGCTCCTGTGGCTGGCGGCCTTGGTACCTCAGTGCCAGAGCTGTCTCTGGATTCAGGAACTGTGAGCCTGAGAGCCTGGAGACATAGGCATAGCTCTATGCAATGTCAAGAAAGTCTCTCAGGCCTCATCTGTAGATGGGAGATTGATCCCAGGACCTCGTGCATACTAAACACACACTCTACCACTGAGCTATGCCCTCCCCCAACCTGGGAAGCTTATTTATAACCCCACTTGCCTCTTCCAGCTGTCCCCCGTCAGGCTCACTGAATCAGAATCCCTAGGGTAGGACCAAGCTATAGCAAGGTTCTAAAAGATATTCAAGTGATTCTAGTAAGTATCCAGGGTGGGGATCTATTGCCCCTACCCGGGTGATTCTCAGTGGGGAAGTGATTTTTCTCCTTTCCCTCCTCCTTCCTCCAGGGGTCATGTGAGAATGTCTGAAGACATTTTTGGTTGTCGTAAGTGGGAGCTGGGGGAAGGTGTTACTGGCATCTAATGGGTAAAAGCCAAGGCTCTGCTGAGCCTCCTATAGAACAAAGGACAGGACCCCACAACAAATAATTCTCTGGCCCCAAATGTCCATTGTGCCAAGTTTCAGAAACCCTGCCCCAGAGCATGGTCCAGCAGCATCCCAGCCTCCAACCCAGATCGGCTGAATCAGAATCCACATTTTCCCCCAGGTTCCCAGGTGATTCCCTGGCACCGTTCAAAGTTGGAGGAGCACAGCCTTAGACCCGCGGCTCTCTTTAAGCACTGCAGAATCGCCAGGGGGGCTCATCAAAGCAGGAAAGGGGCCCCATCCTCACAGTTTCTGATTCAGCAGGTCTGGGGTGGGGCCAAGATTTCTGCCTTTCTAAAGAGCTCCAGTGTTGCTGTTGCCTCTCCCTGGACCACACCTGGACCACACCTAAGATCCATCGCTCAACACACCCAGAGCAAGATAAAACAGCCAAATCCTTTCCAGTGTAGCAAACTGAGCGCTTGCTAACTACCAGGGTCAACAGCAGAGGAACGACGTCTGTGTGCTGAGACACGCAGATGCTCTCTGCCCGACTGGCCAACAAACGTCACCACCTCTGCTCAATGCTACAAGGCAGATCCCTGAACTAAAGCAGTGGGATTGCCCGGTAGCTCCGCCAGCCTCCAGCTGCCTCAATTGCAAGCCAAGAAGGAGACAAAGTCAAATGAAAGCCATCAGCTGTGATGAGGCGAGGTCCGTGCTGAGCCAGAGAGGTAGGGATGAAGAGAGCCACAGAAAGCCTAACTGGGTGCCTGCGCTTTACGCACAAGATATTGATGCTTCCTTAAAAATCCACTGTACAGAAACCCCCTGCTCCTCCCAAGTATGTGCCTCCTGAGAGTGGCGACATTTTCTTACCCACACAGGAGGCTGGTCGGCCGCTCCAGGCCTTGTTGTCCATGCACGTGACTGTCCGCTCCCCTTTCAATGTGTATCCTGGTGAGCAATAGTACTCACACCGGGAGTTAAAGTAGGCACCATCGACACACTTAAACCCTCCATTTGCTGGCATGGCAAGGGTAGGACATCGTTTTTCTGAAAAAGAGACAACCAGAGAGTCAGCATTTCTTAGTTTTTGTCCACGGAGTTTCAGAGTCCAGAAACTCTGAAAGCATAGGGTGAAAAATGAATTGAAATACAATGGATAGAATTAGAGAAACGATGGATGGTTGCATGTCACACAGAAGGGACACAAAGGTTCACATCAGACTAGCTCAGGTTGCCTTCCCAGCTAAACCACTGCCTTCAGCTGGGTTTCTCAGAAACAGACGCTGAGACCAGGATTTGTGTGCAGGTGGTTTAGTAAGGAAGTGCTCCCAGTGGGGCCCAGTGAGGGGTGGGGGAGGCAGGACAGGGGAGGGGACGAAGCCGGATTAGGGGGCATCTCTGGCGAAGCGAGCCTCAACCTGATCCAACAGGGGAGCTCTGGGGAGTGCAAGTCATTAAGAGCAAAGCGCTCAGGAGCTGGGGGATGGACACGCAGAACTGGTAGAAGGGCGTTCAGGGATATCTGGGGGAAGCGCTGAAAATGTCCACTGCAGTCGTCACACGGCTGCAGCTCCAAGCCTCCGCTTCCCCAACTATAAAGTAATGGCGCCCGCATCAATAGCGCTGTTGCAAAACTTGCATGTATGTATGCAATATAATGTATCTGTGCAGTCAAACTGTAATAATTCTACCTAATGAAATTGAAAACAGAAAAAAAACCAAAAACAGAACAAAAAACTTGCACGCATGTGAAATGCGTGGCGCACAGCAGGTGCTCCGTCACCACAGCTGTTTTGAATCGCGCTGGCATCTAAAATGCGCTTCAACAATGCCGTGCCGCTTGCGGTTTCCCAAATGAGATCCGACTTTTCCTGAAGCTAAAAGTCAGTCCCTGAAATACTCTTCCAGTCTTCTCCCCTGAGGCGCACTGCCTTTCAAGGAATAAGCATCTTTCTGAAGTAATTCTTCCCCTGCCTCCCTAAGCTCTACCCCTTGGGAGAGCGCTTGTCTCTGCTGCCGGGATTCCGGGGCGTAGCATCGTTCCTGTACTTCTACCTCCGTTTACACCCCTGCCCGCGGTCTCTGATGCTATTCTGTGAGACCCCTGATGGCAGAGCCTGTGTGTCCTGTTTCTAAATCCCCAACTCCTTTCCAGGGCCCGGCATTTACTGAACAGACATAACCTCCGTGCTAAACAAACCTCTGTTCTCTCCCCCTTTCCAAACAGCTAGCTGATCATACCCTTCCGTCTGATGCGCATCATCTCACTTCTGCTGTATCTTAGAAACCCACTGCCTTCTGCTCACAAGGGGACTTTTTATCATCAAAGACCACAACACACTGAGTAAAATTCCCTGGTCTCAGAGCAAAAGAACTTTGGTCCCGATCGGCCCTGGGGTCCCAACATGGGGCTGGGCTACTCACGCTTGCAGATGACCTTGTCGGACCACCGTTTGTTTGACTGGCAGATCAGCTGGGAAGAGCCGTGCAGCTCGTAGCCCTTCCGGCAGCGAATGTCACACCTGGTTCCCAGGGCTGTTTTGTAGTATCCTCCTTGAGGGGCCCTGCAGTACACATCCCCATACTTCACCTTGATGGGGGAGCACCATGGGGCGTCTACAGGTAGCAGAAACAAAGGAGAGGAGAAATAGAAAGTGACACCTTCAGAAAACATGTCTCCTCATTCTCAAAGCCCCTGGCTGGCTGCATTCCAGGTTTTGAACCTCCAGATAGCGCCCCATGTCTTTTAAGGTGTCTCTCAGTGGAAGGGTTATGATCATGGGACTAGGTGTCAGACATATGTGAACATGGGTCCAGGTTCCTCCATTAATAGCTACGTGACCTTGGACAAGTTACTTAACCTCTCTGAGTCAGTACCTCTACCTACGTCATAGGGCTTTTATAAGGACCAAGCGGAGGGGGAGAAGCATATCAAGCACCTAGCACAGTGCCTAGCACATAGTAAACGTTCAATAAATGCTTTCTTTTTAGTATTTCCCTTAACTAATAATTCTCTTGAGGGCAACTGATACTGTTGTGAACTCTAACTCCAACCATCTCACATAGTGGCAGAGCAGTCAATAATTGGTTAATTTAGATTTTCTTCCAAGTCTGTATCATAGTCACTGTAAAAACTCATAACACAATCTTAATTAATGTTAAGGAAGCTACAATTTCCAGGGGTTTGCCATAGGATATAATTTGGACAGTCACAGAACAATTGCTCCCCACAGGGAGACAACTTCCCTTTTCAGATGTCCCCAGTGAAGTCCCATTTCGGTAAGAGAGGACACCCTTCTCAAATGGCACAGTTCCAGGGTGTTATGATTTTGGCCTCACACTTGCCCAGAGCACAGCTAGGATGACACAAATTAATCAAAACCCCTCCCCTGGGCCTTTGGAAGATGCTCGCTGAGAGCCATAAAATTAGTACGGCAAGACTAGCTCCTCGAAAGTTCCCAGAGTGGCCAGTGCATAATCAGTGGGGACCGGAAACGAGCTCCTTCTAGCCTGTCCGGCTCTCCAAGCCATGAACAGGCACCCCCTCCCTACAGCTGCCCAGCTCCTCGCTCCACCCCAGCACCTGTGAGCTCTCAGCGAGTGGGATTCGTGCGCCATCATGTGGCCAGGAAGGAGGAAATTCACTGTTCGACTTTCCTAGGAATTCTATTCTGAGGATGCGTTTCTGGCTGCTTCTCAGCCCTGAAAACCAGCAGTTATGTCCAAGTCTTATGCATAGACTGTTTTTGTTTTTTTTTAACTTTTATGCTTTCACATATCCTTTGGCTCATATTTTCATCCTATACTGTTTTGCAGACAGCTGAAAATGGGTATTAAAGTCGGGACTCAAGCAATATTCCCTGCACTTTCTGGGGAAAAGTGATGTCCCAGGCTTAGTCTAGAGCTGATTAAATTTGACCACGTGGATACAGACTTGTAGGAGCTTCCACTAGGCCTACAGGCCTTCCTTGAGCAAAGTTTCCTTCTTCTGGGGTTTACACATATAGTCTGTTTGTGCTAACATTTTTAAATGAGAAAAATCTGGACCCTGAAGCAAGGTACAAAATAGCATCTCCATTATTTTCTTCAAAGCATAAAAGAATTCTTGAACCAGTTTGAGATGTTCTTTCTTTGGTGATGGCTCCAGGTAAGCCATGAAGCTAAAAGATTTCAAGATCACAAGTAAATGAGGAGCCTCTGGGGAATGCTGGCTTAGCACTGCCAAGTTGTGGCTATTTCTTCTATAATCAAAAGTCCTTAAGGCAAATTCTGGAAAAACCCATAGATGCCTACTACTCAAATAAAACTGAGATTTGGAAACTACTGGCTTCTGTGACCACTGGAGGTGGTCTATTTCTCTCTCTCTCTTTCTGTCTTTCTTTCCCAACTGTAATAGGAAGGACCACCTACAAGGAAGCTCCCAAATGCACTTTTTATAGTTTACAGTCAGAGGACTTTCACGGTGTTGAATCTTACAAATCATCTGTCAGTTTACCTCTCTATCCCGGTCATCTCGGCCTGCCTCACTTCCTTTTAGTTCCCCTGTCTGCCCTGTCCCCCATCTGGACTGCAAGATCTCTGTTCTCCCCCAGCTCTAACCTGCTTCTTCTCTTGCCAACTGGTCTCCTTCACTGCCCCCTCCCCCACCATCTCACAGGTCACACTATAGCACCCTTGACTGATAACTGGGTTCCAGAGAGAAAATGAAATCCCCACTGGAGGTGGCAGCAGGGTGATGAGGTGAGAATGAATATGGGAGACCCAGAGGGAGAAGATGGAAACATAGTGAGCTGCTGGAGTATAGGGGATATGATACTGGGCAGACTGGAGAGGTCTGGGCACACATGCTAACTCTGTCATCTCCTAGTAACCCTGGACAACTCAATACATTTTTCAGGGAACCAGATTCCTAACCTATAAGAGATAGAAGTGGATTACATTATTTCCAATGTCCCATCTAGCATAGCTTTAAAGTTGTAGGATTCAAATTCTGTCTTATTCCTCCCCGATCCCCTACCCATCTCACAGCCATGCCAACCTCCTTACTCCTTCTGACTGTTAACTTTTCTCATCTCCTGTAACCCTTCCAGCTGAAGGCAAGTCCTTTTTGCATTCTGGGTCTTGATCACAATTCCATGGATGTACAAATTGGAAGAGTATCCAATTCTTGTTTTTTCACTCAAATGTTGAACATACTCACATCCTCCAGCTTCTGGACTGTGACGTGAGTTTAGGAGGGACACAATTTTACAGTAAACTAATATGAGACAGCATACCTGCAATTCTTAGCACACACATTATGGCTGTCTTTCCCACAAATGTGCCCAGGACAAACATTGAAGGCTAACAGGTACATTAGAGAATGACGTGTGTATACACGTATCACAAATTCACATAGTTCAGGACAACAACGCACTCAGCAGATTTTTTTTTTAACTCAGATATTCTGAGTCTTCAAATCCTCCTAGCAGTGTTGGCAACGTGTCCAAAAGCTGTGCTGTTGTCAGCATGTGGGGGAAAAAAATCTTGTTTTTATTTATTTGCCCCCCCCCCAAATTTTTTTTCTTTTGGATTACCTTCCAAGACAAATCTTTGGAAGATATTTTGACATTTTAACAGCTCTGCAGTGATAATATTTAAAAAGTCAGTGAGTGACTAGAATTTGAAGTGCATGTAAGCATCATAAATTAAAGTGAGTTAGTGAAATGTTTAACATAGAGGTTTAGAGAAAAGAAGTTCTAATGCTGCTTCAATTAAGATAGGGTTCATTTAAGGAGAAACCTAAATCAATTTTTCAGGAAAGTTTCTTCTTCTTCCTGGGCTGCTGTGAAGGTCCTAGAGTAAGCAGTGTCATGTAGCAGACTAATGAGGAGCCACTGGTAAACTCTGGATGTTGAGCTAAAACATCTGGATTTCAGACCCAAACGTAATGTCTGCTAGCTGCGTGACACTGGGCAAGTCACCTCCCCGCTCTAATCTGTGGTTCCTTCACCTGTAAATCAGTAATAGCAACCTATCTCTACACGCCTTCCTTCTTCCCTCAATTAGTGTGAAGGTATGATGGTATTCCCTGTAAAAGAATCAAAAACAATTCTTGCCACATTCTGGGAACACAATAAATGTTGGTTTCATTTCACTTTCTTCCTTCTTTCATAAATTTTGTAAATTACAAATTTAACTTACTTAAATACCACTTATTGAGTATATACTCTGTGCCAGACACTGTGTAGGGGCCTGAGGATCTAGAACTAATCCCCCAGTTAACAATGGCTTGCCTCTGTTTTAAAACAAAACAAAAAAAATGACCATGAAAATAATTTCCTAAGAAGCATTAATTCTTAAACATTTAGGGTAGGCTCTAGGGAAGGCACATATTTTGGCCATCTGGTCTACCTTCCGCATTGGCACTGCTGCGAGATGAGGATGAATACTGGGAACAATGATCCCAGGGCACTAGACAACCTCTCTTGCACATATGAAGGGTCACATTCGCACACATGTATTTCAGAAAGATTTTTCAATAAGGGACTCAAAAAATATATTTTTCAAAACTCTCAATTCATTAAGAAGTGTTAGGAATCAGAATGTCATCTTATCCCAAACATCTAATTAACAAGTTTGTGCTTTGCTTGATTGGTTAATTCCTGAGGAAATAATATAGGAGCTGGGCATAGGAATGAGTATGTATATTCACAGGTCATAAGCAAATGTGGAATATGGTAGGGAGCACCTCTGGACAAAGGCACCAGTCATTATATTAGAAAGGTTGCTCATTTACGTGAAAAACAACGGAAGGACTCTCTTCAACCAAAGGCTGACCAGCACTACCCTGATTCTCCTATAACTTAGACACGTCACAACAGAGCAGGAGGGTATCCTTTTGCCAGGATGTAGACAAACTTCCGGGGCAAAATGCCACAATGGAAATTTATTAACCAATTTTCCTCAAATTATTTCTCAACTGTAAAAGGATCTGGATTCAGGGAGAAATAATCTAAATTTACCCTCACTTTTCCCAGGGCTCCCTAAGCTTTGGAGAAATGACTCACCAGTAGGAATATTTGTGGACAGACTTACCTGAGCCTGCATAGAAGGTTCTTGATTAGGCTTTTTATATCTGCTGGGGTGGGGGTGGGGGCTGCTAGAAATGTATAGAGATGGAGTTCTTTATCATTAAAGTTTCATTGGGCAACACACTTTACTCATCATTTCAGGAGCCAAACTAGACTCAGAAAGTGCACGATGAAATGAGCTTATGAAAATCAAGTTTTCTCATTCCCCATTCATCTCAATACATTAGCAGCACTGGGTCCAGATTTGACCTTGAGTGGTTTACTCTGGACGATTCTGGCTGTAATGTATGAATCAGGCAGAACTCATGGCTTGATTTTCACTTTTCATCAGCTAGAGCTTGGCTTTGCAGAAGTAAGGACAGTAAAGAAATTTATGAGAATAAAATGACCACTGGGTTGCTGAAGGACAGCACTTGAGAGATTTCCAAATGCTTTCTGTTTTCTTTCATTTGTTTTTCTTTTAACTGGGAGCATATGCGTATTAATTTTTAACTGTTTTGTTTTCCGGACAGGTCATTAGAACTTAAAATGTGTTGTCTGGTCACTTTATTATAGTCTGCTCGGCAGGGCAAAAAGGAAAGTTCCCCTGGCATCAGCAGGTCTTCATTAGCACATAAGCAAAGCATTCACCTTTATATCTAGTGTGTGAATACCCGACTTCATCGTCTTCTAGCGGTGAGTCTCCAGATCCTACAATAAAAAAAGAACAGAAACTGCAGCAAGAAAAGCCACACGATATGGACGAATATTTCGAAGCATTGCTTTGGCACAGTTCATGCAAGAGGGGCTATTAGAACGCAGAGCCAAGAGTAAAAGCTTCTGTGGCCATTCATGAAGGGACAGGGGACCTCTCAGAGTGAACCTGGCTGGGCCGAGAGTGCCAGAGCCAATCAAGATGAGCCTCAAACTGTTGTGGAATCACCACATGCCAACTGGAATTCTGGACTTGGGATTGAGAGAAAGTCAACTTCACTCTGAGAAGATGCCAAAGTATATGAATCTCATGCCAGGGGAGACGCAGTAAAATGTGTGTGACTCAGACATGGCCCACGGTTTCTCCAGCAGTCAAAGCAAACCTGGTAGAACTGGGTGTTTATGGTACCTGAAAATCAGTTCATCTTGTAAAATGAACTTGGGTGGAGGGTCAGGAGGCAAATCAAATGTCTTATCTTAATGGCGAAAGAAATACAAAGCTGCCTCGGTATATTTGCAGGAAATGAAGGCTGAAATTGGTGATCTGGATGTTTATTCAAAACCTCTCACCAAGGCATAGCTAAAGGCAAATTTCTTGATGAGCCTTGCTACTCTTGAAAACCACAGCCTCAGAGAGAAAGTCTGGATTTAATTTTTAAATTTAAACTCATTTGTAAGTTGGAACTGAATCATTTTTTAAAATGTTAAATATTGAATTCCAGTAAACGGGAGATGCTTCATCTTCAACACAGTACCAGGCCCCAAGCTTCAAAGCACTAATCTTTTTTTTTTTAAGTTTCATTTTGTGTGGGATGGGTGTAATTTAGACTTGTTTGTTTGTTTGTTTGTTTGTTACCAGCTGCCCTGAGGACTGAACCCAGGACCTCGTGCATGCTAAGCATGTGCTCTATCACTGAGCTCTACCCGCCCCCCTCAAAGCAGTAAACTTAAATTTAGAGATCTTTCCCTCCAGCCTTCCTAATCTGATCGCTGACTCTTGAGTTAGCAGTGTCTTGATCACACATTTACCTGCAGGGACTACAACCATCACAGATAAGAACACTCTCTTTTATGAGGTTATTTGAATTTCCAGGATTCAAATAACAGGATAAGTGAATCGAGTAATGGTCCTGCTCCACTGGTATTCTGGATGAGAAATGGTGTGTGGAACTGAAAGTGGGGAGGTGATGAAGGCCGGACTACGTCCATTTGGAAAGGACCCCCACCAACCAGAGAAGCCCACCTTCAGGTTTCTTCGCCTGGTCTCTGGCCACCCAGACAGATACAGAATTACACAAACTGTTCCTTATTCCATATCAAAAAGTGAACATAAAACCCTTCAAGAAAGCAATCCAGCAACATGAATCAAAAGCCTATGTTCAAACCCCTTGATTCAGTGATTCCACTTCTAGGAATCTATCCCAAAGAAATAATATTGAATATTAGAAAAAGAGTTTACACACCAAGATTGGTTTGCAATGTTATTTACAACAGCAAAAGACTATAAACTGGCTAAATAGTATTATGGCTAAATAAACCATAGTACGTTCATTGGGTATAATAAAATGTAGCCATTAAAATGTTGACTAACAGTTACAATAGCATAGAAAAATGTTATACCATTAAGTGAAAAACGTGCTATAATAAAATTATATAAATGGTGTGATTTATAACAATGTTAAACAAATTCAAAAGAAACAATGCATAGAACAGTCTATGATCATTAGATGCTCTTCTTCCTTCTCTTCTAAATTGTCTATTATACACATGTATTACTTTCATAATGGAAAAAAAAAACCTTATGCATGTAACGTGAAGAAGTCTCATGTCCAAAATACATTTTGAATATATTAGAAACGTTTAAGAATCTACAGTTCCTCCCCTCCTGCCCTGCCTGCATTTCCCTCCATAGTCAGAGCTGAACTGGAATTCCTCCAAGAACTGCTGAATTCTCCAACTCCATATGGCATATTTCTAAGTGTTGAGAGATCTGTCTTATATTAAGAGCACTTCCCTCTTTCCCAAGTCATCGTGGCCTCCGTACCATCTATCTAGGCAGTAAGAGGCTCTGGACCCATTCCTGGCTCTAAGCAAAGAAGACAACTGTCACAGATTGGGCTCTCTGGAAAGTATCTTCTGAGATGGAGTTTAGCGCACAGGATGTTGGTTAGGGATCAACACCTGTGAAAGGGATAAGAAGGAAGCATGTTTGGACAGAGGGAGAAGCCAAGCTTTGATGTCTGCTCAGTGACAGCTTCCTATGGTGGCTAAAATGGCCGAGCCTCTATATCCCTCCCTCAATCAGCCATCGGATACCACCCACCTTGAAAAGGACATGAACGTGGGTGAAGCACTCCCAACAGCTGAAGCAACCTATGAAGGGACTGAAAGCTGACGGGTGTCTGATGATCGCATTACCTCCAGCGGAGACAACCACCCCTTCCTTGAAGGAAGAGCTGATCGGCGCATCTCCATGACCATCACAACAACACTGGCTCATTAAGAATTAACTGAAGATGTGTTAACTCATGAGGAGGGGACCCTCTGTAGAGACGGAAAGGGACTGCGATCTACTGGAGAGACAGGTGTGCCTGGGGTGCGTGGCCCCACTTTACCAGTACATCAGTATTCTGAGACATATTCATCACATACTGTGTATTATAGTGAAAATTAAACATCTAACAATAGGAGAATGTGCAAACAAATGATCTTATATCAACAAGCTATTCTAAAGCCACGAAATCAAGTTTGGAATGGGAAAATCTGTATGAAATACAGCTAAGCAGAAAAGCAGATACTGCAAACTGTATTCAAGATGAAGTATGGAACTGAATATATATTATATACTATATGTTACATATATAATGTTGACACTTATTCATATGTCAAATTTGGAATATTTTAAGGTAGGATTACTAATCAGTGGGGAAAAAGGTCAATAAATATGCTGGGATTAATCAGCTGTACACACACACACACACACACACACACACACACACACACACACACACACACACACACACACACACACACATACAGAAAAAAAAACCCTAGGAGTCCTAGTTTATACCATACCAAAAAATCATTTCCAGACAGCTTATAGACCTAAATTTGAAAGCCAAAATTTTGAGAAAAATGAAGAATATCTGCATAACCGTGAGGTAGGGAAAGACTATCAAAACAAACCTTACAAACCATAACCCATAAAGAAAAATACTGCTACACTTCACTGCACAAAAATGTAAAACTCCTAAGCAGTAAAAGACATATAAACAAAGCTTAAAGACAAGACCCAGACTGGCAGAAAATATTTGCAATGTTTGTCAGGCAGAATTATTACCCAGAATATATAAAGAAGATAGTCCGACAGAAAAAAATGACAAAGATGAACAGGAGCTTTGTAGAAAAAGTATCTGAATCTGAAGCAAATGCCACAAAATGTTAATATGAAAGAATCTTCAACCTCACTAGTATTTAGGACAATATATATCTAAGAGACCAATTCGCAATCATCAGACTGGGAAAAATGTAACTGCCAAAGAGGTCAGGAGGCAGTTCACAAGCTCTGCTGGTGGAAATACAATTGTTCAACTAGGCTGGAGAGGAATTTTGCACTACATCTGAACCTACCCTTCAGATCAGCCATTCCATTCCTAGACATAGGCCTCAGGAGATCCGGCAGACTGCAAGTGTAAGCATGTGCAAGCCTGCTCCTTCCAGCATTGCCATTAGTCAAAACCAATGTATAACACCATTCCTAGAAAAAAATGGTGGTGTATTCAGATAACAGGAAGCTGTAAAAGTTAAAATGAGTGAACTTGCTCTACATGAAACGACAAAATCTCAAACACACCATGTATAGTTAATAATCTATCTAGAGTGTGAGATCGAGTATATAAAATTTTAAATTGCAGAAACTAATACTATAGTTTTCTATAGATATGCACTAAACTTATACTGGATTGGAAAGATACACATCAACTTCGTATTAATGGTTTCCTCTGGGCAGGGAGGAAGGGGAAGGAACTCAAAAATGCACACACCGGGGCCACTGATCTCTTACTTCTTACAAACATAAAAGATCTGAAGCAAATGTGAGAAAATGTTCATATCAGTTGAATCTAGATGATGATTACTTTTCTTATATTTGAAATACTTTATTTAAAAAAAGAAGAGAGGGAAGGAGGGAGAAAAGAAGTGGGGAAGGTGGCTGGAAGAACACACCATCACCCTCCATGTTGGAGCAGTAGAATTAATGGGTGAAAATTTCCCCCCTTTTTTCTATCTTTTCCGTTTTTCTTCATTGAGCATATCATTATTTAAAAGTTTGGAAAAAAACATATTGAATAGCTAAAGGCAAAAAATGCTGGACTGTCGTATTCAATACGTATAATTCGTTTCACACTATTCCAAGTCCTCACATCCCAAAGCCTTGCTACACATCTAAAAGGACTGCTACACAGTCAAGTTCAGGGCCAGCGGTCAGAAGATTTTCGGCTGAGGATGGTAGAATGGAAGGATAAAAAGAACCTGGGATCTGTGATGACTTTATTGGGCTACTAAGTTAATCCTAGATCTCTGACCTCCATACTTCTTGCTCCATCACTAACAAATGTCCTCTCAATGTGAGCCACTGTGAATAGCATTGTTTGTGACTTGCGGCTGAAAGCATGCAAACTGATTCACAAATAAACAGGAAATTTCCTGTCTATTGTTGACAGGAGATAAAAGAAGTGAAAACAAAATAAATGGACATTAGCTCCCCCTTCCTGAATACTTCCAGTTTTTATGTAGCCGAAACTCATACATCAACTTCTATAAAAAAAATGATGACCATAGAGACAGAAGGTAGATTATAGAGGTTACCAGAAGCTGGAGGAAGAGGGGAATGGGAAGTTATTGCTTAGTGGTTACAGAGTTTCTGTTTGGGGTTATGAAAGGGTTTTGAAAAGAGATAGCAATGATGGTTACACGACGATGTGAACGTAATTAATGTC